TAGGAGTAGTAGGAGTAGTAGTCGGAGGAGTAGAAGTAGAAGTAGAAGTAGAAGTAGAAGTAGTAGTAGTAGTAGTAGTAGTAGTAGTAGTGGTACTAGTACTAGTACTTGTACTAGTACTAGTACTAATACTAGTACTAGTACTAGTACTAGTACTAGGACTAGGACTAGGACTACTACTACTACTACTACTACTACTACTAGTATAAAAGTAGTAGTAAAAGTAGTAGTAAAAGAAGAAGTAGAAGTAGAAGTAGAAGTAGAAGTAGAAGTAGAAGTAGAAGTAGAAGTAGAAGTAGTAGTAGTAGTAGTAGTAGTTGATGATGCAGTAGTAGTAGTAGTCGTCGTCGTCGTCGTAGGAATAGGAGTAGCAGGAGTGGTTGTCTTAGTTGTCGTCATCGTCGTGACATCGAGAAGGCATCACTCGCCGATGCCACCCCGGCTCGAGGGGCTTGAGCGCGATGCTCGCCGAAAGGATGGGACGGCAAGGAGGAGGCGGAAAGGGGGTGCCGTCCCCCTCCTCATGATCCACGGCTTCAGTGCAGGGCTCGCTGACGACAGCGACTCTGCTGTTGCTCCCTCTTACAGTCTCCCTTTGCCGCTTTACACGCATCACCACTGCCCGCTCAGGCCGGCTAGAACCTGAGGCCGAGTCAGGGCCGAGTAGCAAAAAACTGAGACGATCAGCTGCACGATTAAACACCGGATCCAAATAAATTGTCTCCCTTCAGCCTTACCAGGAGACAGGCATTAAAGGAGGTCAGGTTCACAGAAACACAGAAGCCCGCAACATAAAACTAGGCTTGCCAGCATAAAGAGAACTAAACTAAATAAACCATCATAAGACAGCGATGTAGCCCATATGGCAAAGATTATCAAACAGTTCATATAATATGCATGTGTGCATGCAACAGAAACAGGCAATGCATGAGAAGGCAGGAGGCTGTGTCCGATTCCGACTGGTGTATTGAGAAGATATGCAAGACTCAAACACCAAAATAAAGGCTTCGGGATATGTTGTGCCACAACAAAATGCTTCCATGTCCTCCTCGGGGATCAGGAGGCGCTCGGCGCAAACCTGCGCGAGGCAGAGCCAATTTTTGTCAATGCGTTCTACTACTGCAGACGCTTCCAACTTGCACCACGTAGCCGACCAATTTCCAAGCCAAGCGAAGGAATAGGCGATTGGTATCAGGTGTAGTGCTGCGAGCCAGGGAAACTCCTCGCGGATCAGAATGGCAATTTAAGCAGCTGCAGTGTGCGTTCCACTGAGTTCCACTCCAAACGAGACAACTCGACGCATACCACACATGCCAACGCTGCTTCTCATTGGCATGCCCCTCTCCTTCGCTGACATTATGTTCCAAATCCTGCAGGGTGCGGTGCAAAGCACACTTCAGCCCTCGCTTTGCTCTGGCTTTGCTGGCCTGTATGAGACCTCAATCAGTTGACATTAAGCACTGACGCAGCTCACGTTGCAGCTGTATGCAGTCTTAATCTGCGCTGCTCAGGCAGGAAATGGCTTGTGCAGCTGTGGGTGGCTCCTGACTGCCGCCGATTTGGGCGACTTGGGCTCAGCTCCAGCTGAGGAGGCCGCACCTGAGGACACAAACCCGGATGAAGTAGGGGCTCCCGGTAGGCCCCGTAGGGTTGTTGCGCCGTCACAAACAAAGAGCATCTTTTGGTCTGCACAAGTCAATCAGGAGGAGTGACAAGCAGCTGAATATGGCTTGCCCGCTCAGTCAAGTGGCCACTTTCCTCTTCTGCAGATTCAATCACGGACTTCCAGGCCGAAGAACGAAAGACCAAGAATCCTGCGAGAAGTTCATGCTGGGACAACCTGCGAGCATCAACTTCAATCTTGTGCGGCGGCCTAGCATGCCACTCACCAGGCTGTAGGCAATCTGGTAAGCCAAAAAGTCGAACGGCGCTCCACCTAAAAGTGAATTGCGTCCCAAATAAACACGAACTCCGAACAACAGATAGTCAGACAGACCCCACAGTACTATGCCGATTTATCAAATCGACGGGTGGTTCAATCACCAATTACAATTTGAAGCTTCTTAGTTTGGCAGCACCGACGAAGCTTCCTGTTTGAACGGCCTCAGTCTTGTTACGTCCACTCTGGCAAACCCAATCGCTGACAAAGCACGGAACCACTGTGCATGCACCGCAGTGTGGATGCTCATTCCAATGGCAAGCCTTGCAAATCAAGCTTTTAATTATGACAGTTGCCACAGTTTGCACGCGCACGCAACACTGTGCATTTACAGCAGGTGCAAGTCGGGCTTGGCGGCTACGTGGTCTCCGTGCTTCCGAGCGTCGAGCAAAGCACACCTGCAGAGACCTTTGCAGACTGTTTCGGCGGTGCAGCGCGCACTGCCGCTAGAACGGCAACCTGGGCTGCGATCACAGCAATGGGACTTTGAACGGAGACAGGGCTGCATTACCGAATCGGTGCAGTCTGTTGTTTGGGCGGGTCTATCTATCTGTCCTTCGGCCGTCTATCTGCGTGAACTGTTGAGCATCTTGCTATCAGTCCTTCTGTCGGAAGGCCAAAGTAGCTGACAGTCCCAGGGCCTGACCTTGAAACTGAGATCCCCCACGTGGCGCCGCTTTGTGCTTTTATGCTCGATCTCACTGATCTCAGATTTGCAGTGAGGCTGAGTTGCTTCAGCATATGTAGTTCCTTTATCCCCGTGCCCAATGTGCAGTGGGTACTGGTTCACTCTTGGCAGGTAATAACAGGTAGTACACGTGCGGGCTCCCCGGCTCCCAAGGCTTTATCTTGTCTGGCAGCGGCGGCTGTCACAAGGCGTCAGGCCTTGAGTCGACCAAAAATGCAAGGGGGGGGCAGCCACGACGAGAAAAGATGCATCACTTCGCAGTAGTTGTCCTTCCGTTAGGGTTTGTCGTTTGTCAGCGCATCAATCTGTGCCCACCTCACAACCGTGGCAGCACGCAACTGCCGCATCTAGATTCGACTGCAGTCATCCCAACCATTGCAACTGCCGGCAAGGATCCGTGTTCAAAAGCGTTGCTCCGAAGCCGAAGAGGAAGTATCCGGCCATTGCTGAATAAATCCTGGACAGGAAGAGAAACTGAGTTCCCTGTGTACTTCTTGCATCTTCTTGCAGCACAGTGCCGACAGTGCCTCGGGGTTCCGAGCAATGATGCCGTGGCCCATGCCATGCCTCGGTTGTTCAACATCAAGAAGCATCCGAGACAAGAGCGCGCAGCAGCTGGCGGCTCATGTGTGCGGTCCAATGAAAAATGTGTATCTGCATGCTGGTGTGTAGGTGTTGAATGCTCAATGCCATGCAGCTTGTGTCAACTTCAGCTTGGGTTGTGACTGCAGGGATGCATTGCAGAAGTGGGTTGTCCGAATTGAAAGCCCGCCCGCCCGCCCTTCACTGTCTTGCCCGGTGAGGGCATACTCTGGCCCCATGTGGCCGACTGAGGGTCGTGCGTTTCAAGGGTGTGCGACTCCCTCTCATGATCAGCAAGCTGCAGCTGCAGCGGGCCCGGTCCCACACCCGACTGAAAGGTGAGCGGCCTATTGCAGTTCAGGCAGCACAAGTAGCTTAAAACCCACCCCAAACGAAGGGTGGAGGCTCCGCTGCTGGACCAAGGGGTCGACAGAAAGAAGCCCAGTTCATGCAGGAGAAACTCCTGAAAGCCCATCGCGGCTCAATGCAGCAGCCCAGCAGTTTCGAACTCCAGCGATCTCAAAACAAGGGAGCCGAACACTTAGCTTAACCGACCAGCAGAATCCAGCAGAAGGGCTCCTTCAATCTCCTTCATGCAGGTGCGGCAGGCGCAGGTGAAATAGTCTCCACGCGGTAGTGCAAGCTCTCGGCAACGAAGAACCGAAAGCATCAGCTGCGCGAGGGCCTCCAGAGTCTCCGCAGATGCAATGATGGACTGCAGTGAATGGCCTTTCGCTGGCCGTAGCCAGGTCGGCATGGCTCGTCAACCTAGACCACCTAATGTTCTGCACTACGCAAGGCGGCAAGGCAAACAATGCAGCCCAACGCCACAAAGTAGCTGAAACATCTTTGAACACTATCCAGGGTGGGGAGCCTAACCTTCCCACAGATCCGACATGCTGGGTTGGCACCGGATACAGTACCGTCTCCGACAAGGCGAGGCTTCTTGCCAGGAGGGTGCGCGATGCCGCGTGCCCCAACGCTGCCGTGCGCCCGCTTCTCCACCTGGATCCACATGGCAACTCCAAAGCGAAGCCTGCATCCACGTCCGTCAGCATCAAGGACAACATAAGCTCTTCATCATCTAAACGGCTCTGCCACGGGGAGGTGTTAACAGACAGATCCGAAAGATCTTCATCAGGCGGAGCAGGGGCAAACATAGCTTGCCGCACGTTTGAAGCTTCAATCGGCTCGAGCATGCACGCCTGTCGGAACACCACTGCGGAGCAGCCCGGGCAAACAACAATCCGGGTCACCAATACAATGACCCTGACCCTCCCATGGCTGACATGGCTCGGAGGGAGATCGCAAGCTCCGTCTGCAGTGCTTGATCAGGCACCGGACTACATTCCATTCGAGACGTAAGGTCTTGAATTTCTCACGCAGTCCGAGTCCTAGTTGGGGGATGGACCGATCGGCAATGGAGCTTACGCCTCCGCCGTCTGGAATTGGCGCGTGGTATAAGCTTCTGCACCAGGCACGCTAGGACTACATGCTGGGGGTGGCAACAAGGGGAGAGGCTGGAGAGGCTTAGGGCGCTTAGGTGGGACGCGGGCAGAAGCGCTGGGGCGAGCGAAAGGACCAAGGACCAACCGCGGTTGGAACGTCAGAATCCGGCACGGCAATCGCGGAAGCATGAGCCACGAAAGAGACATGGGATCCACAGATGCAGCAGGTGTATGGTTCATAAGCAGGTGCGGATCGGTGACTTCAGCAACTTCGGCTGCGGCGAAGCTTCACATGCAAAAGATCCTCACGGACCACAAGGTGCAGAGCACCGTCCAAGGAAGCGTTGTCGTGGAAGTCCGGAAAACTTCGCAAATTCTCCTTTTTCAGCCTCCTGTGCCTCCGGGGTGGGGGGTGCAGGCCAAGCCCGGAGCGGCGAGTACAGCACGGCATGAAGTTGACGTGACCAGGGCAAGGCACACACACACACAAACACAAACACAAACACACACAGACACACACACAAACAAACAAACACGCACCCACACAAACAAACACACGGACACACACACACACACAAGCACACACACGCAAAACAAACAAACACACAAACACACACACAAACACGCACACAAACAC